TGATAAGAGCTGTTCTTGAAAAAAGGAGCAGTTTCTGTCAGAGCTCTCTCAGCCCCGCCTACCTCACAGGCAATGTTCCCTCTAAGCTGAGTTAGTGTGAGCTAGCTCACACATTTTTGTCTTTGCTCAGGAAGGATGGCTCCAGAGCAAACCAACTTTAATGCCAGTGGCTCACAAAGTAGAATTTTTGCTCACAAGACTTCATAGCTTAGAGGGAACATTGCTCACAAGGTGTCTGTTGTGGGGAGGGGAAGGGAAAGGAGTTTGTAAGCCGCTCTGAGACTCCTTTGGGTAGTGAAGGGCCATGGGGTATAAATCCCATCTCTTCTCTTCTCTTCTTCTTCTTCTCTCTTGGTGTGCCGCAGGTGTCCTCCCTCTTCCCTATAACAGTATTTTGTTCATACAGCAGGTGAAATCTGAGAACAGAAAGCTCTTTTTGTGCACACAGCTTTCTCTGGATCAGGGCACACACTCTGTTCAGGAAGAAGAAATAAAAGTAGTTATTAAGTCTTCAAAAGGAAATTTAAATGCACTTTTTTTAAAAAAAGAAAGTGACTAGTGTACCGCTGTTTAATCATACAATAGATAATACTGAAATCTGAAATGATTCAGATATTTCCACACATACATTGTCAACAAAATGTCATGGGCTTAATTTTTCATGTTTTAAATGAACAGTACTGAGCTGCTCTAAATGCAAGTGAACTATGTAAATTGCAATCCCATATGCACTTAAAATACATAGTGTAAACTAAACCTAATTTGGACAGTTGGTTTGTCAGAGTTCAGTAACAGTAATATACTAGCAGGGGACTTGCAAGGACTTGCAAAGGGTATCTTACTTTCCTCTCCCCCACTATTTCCTCTTTCCTTTTCCTGAAAGGCCCCCCCTCCCATGGCCTGTCCCCTTTCCCTGCTTCTTATTTTCTATCCCATCCACCCGTGAACCGACCTTTATCTGCCCTAATGTCTTCAGCTTTCTCTGCTTCCCCCAGTTGCACAATACCAAACACTAGGCTGGGCTGAATTGCATGGTGGGGAAACTGCAAGGAATGGGGGGGGGGTGTTCATCTCATCTTTCCCTGTATCTACTTCCCAACATTATTTTGTTTAGGCTGGGTGTGCAACAGTGGCAGAACAAGCTTCCATAACAGAGCGAGGATTCGAACCTTGGTCTCCTAGATCCTACACTAAAACTCTAACCACGACACCAAACTGGCTTTTGTGGAGTGGCTGTTGTCGAACAATAGCAAGCAGCCAACCTGGGGGAAGTCATGCAAGCTACATGGCAGCATGTTGTCTGGTGGTTGCTGCTTGGCCTGACCCCATGAGTCCTCCCCTCAAAGGCCAAAACCACCCTGGAAAAGGGCTCTTCCTGCTCCCCCTGCCTTTAACTGGACAGAAACCAAACTTGGAAGGCTGGGAATACTATAGTAGTTCCTTAGCAACAGCCACCGAGGGCATTTATCTGTTAAAGCTAAAGGTGCTGCTTCTATCATTTGGGGGCATTATAACTGATCTCTCAAAGTATTTGTTGTTACATTTTGTATTTTTCTGCCGATCTGTCCATAGCCTCACAGATGAGGCCATATTGAGAATTAGGTGCATTGATGCAGTTAAAATTTGAAAATGTTTACTGAATCCAGGAAAAGTAACTTCCAACATTGCTATCGGCTTCGTATTTTGATATGAGGCTTGCCTACAGTAAACTGCAGTGAGATGCTAAGGCTGCAAAAGCTTTGTGGAATTGATTGTGTAGAACTTTTTGGGACTGATTCTTTCTGATATCTTAATGCTATGATTTGTATCTTTGTAATTAAAAATTCACCTTTTTAAACTGTTTTTCAGAGTCAATACAGGTTCGTTTGTGAAGCTATTTTGAAAGTGTACGAAGAAGGACTTGTTAGACCTTTTATGACATCACTGGATAAATAGAAAGCAAAAAGAGACTTTTTGGAAGAACTGGTATAAGACACTGGCTGCACTTGTTGTGCGATAACTTTGCTTGCAAGAAATGGTGTCTGGAAACAATGAAGAACTGAAAAGAACTTGGAAAAACTTCAGCACTGTTGCACTTTATGTTGAAACTGAAAACAGTCTCTAAAACACGATGTTTTTTTCCTGTGTTGGAAGACTCTCTTCATGCTTTGCTCTGAACAAACCACAAACTACATGAGCTCCCTGTGTTCAGGATGACTTTTCCAGACTTGGGTGTAGTGCCATAGAGTTCATTTTTGTTTGAACTGCTGCAAAAAAGAAAAAAAGGAAAAAGGAAAAAAAAAAAGCTTGGAATGCTTTTACTTTCTGTTTGACACTTGTGTCTTTCAAATTAACAATACACACAAAGCCATCTCTTCCAGTGCCAGATTGATTTGCTGTGTTCAGATCCTTGCTATCTTTGTCTTCATTCTAGTGAAACGTTAGCAATATTACGGCTACTACACACTGCCTACTAAAGCAGCACATTTTGCCCTATGCCCCTCTCGAATCTAACTTGATCAGTAGTGGAAAGCTGCAATCTGTCCTGACCCAGCAGTAGCACTATAAAGGCCCTTTATCCAGCATCTTGTTTCACGTGGGGTAGAAAGGACATCTCTTTTGAACTGGTAGTTCAGTTTCTTGGTTGTGTCATGATGTTGGCGTGTTTCAATTCACCTGATAACTTTACATAAAGAAAACAGTCTGTCTTAACCCCCTAAGTGCCTTGAAACTTACAGTGTATGGCTTGGATCCTAAGGTGCCATGGTGCAACACCAGTTCCTCTGTCAGAACAGCATTGATGTTTGCAGAGGGAGGGCAGTTTTTGCAAATTCCTGCTTTGCCCCCCACCCTGTTACTGGGGGTACCTGCGAGAGCCCACTTTTGGATAGCACAGAAGGCTGCAGTGGGAGGGGGGGAGAAAAGCGGAAGGCCCCATCCTCAAGTGCAGCTCCAGTTGTGCTGCTTAGGATCCAAACCTGCCTTAACGGATAGGCACTGGTATAGGCCCTAAAGGGGAAGTCTCATTATTGAAGCTTTTTTTTATTTTAATGGGTTCACATTTCAAAGCATGGCCCTTGGTGCTTAGAACATGGTAGCATGGGGGGGAGGGGCATGTCACAGAAATACCATTCTTCCTCTTTCTACAAGGACCTGCATGCTACTAAACAAAAGCACCCTAGCCTATTAAATAAGCATTGTTTACTGCTATGAAATGAAGTGGGAAAATCTGACACATTCCTTTCATTTGGTAAAAGGTTTGCAGCCCGTAAAATCATTTTAGAATTTGTTCCTCTGTTTTATCCTTATGCGGAGAAGGAAAAGCTTTGTAACTTAAGGTAGAGGATATAACTTTTTACTAGCACTGATGCTTTGCTTTAAACATGCCTATCTAAGGTAATCCTTTCCCCCATCACCTGCTTCCCATTAATTTCCTGAGTTTCCCCCCTGCTGTTTTTCAAGTTCTGCTTGTACTGGACTGCTTTTAAAGGGGGGCAGGGTGGTAAAGGCCAACAACTCATCCCTAAAACATTTGTCCTTGTTTGGATTTCCATGTTGTTCTTTCTTGAGACAAAACTGTTAATATTTGTGTGCCTCCTTTCTGAAGTTATTTGCATGTATGCAGGAGAGGCAGTTCTTTGATACAGTATCTGAGCTCATTCTACAGACATGTATAGCTTTTCACATTTTTTTTCTAGGTGAAGCCAACAGACTAGTAAGGGTGTCCAGCCTTGCACAGTAAGTTGGGAATTGTTTTTATAAAGACTATCTTCAGACCCTATATTTAAATGTTTGGTTATAAAGCATTTTCTTAAAATCAGGATATGCAAAGTACAAAATGAGAAAATGAATTATTTTAAAATAGTTTTTTCTTAAAAAAATTATGGTGTATAATCACTTCTATATATATTTAGAAGGACCCACAGGTACAATGGCAGCAACCTAGCACTGTAATGCCAAATGAGAGAAAATGTAAAGCCTCTTTTTAAAAGATTTTTAAAAAATCAGCCCTTATTTCCAAAGCAAGGCTGTGATATATGTTTCTAGATTTAACATTGCCAAGCACATTTTTTAGTGTTTCCTTTACCCACGTGTGGCTGAATGCAGTTGTACTGTCAGTAGGAATACAATATGTTTGTGCTTTGACAAGCTGGTCCACTTTCTAAATCTGCTTATACTTTTGAAAGCTGTGAAAGTTCAGGGGTTGGTGAGAACAATGTTGTTGTATACGAAGTAATAACTGAAGGAGCCACTTTTTCATAGTCTGTTACTATTCAGCAGGGCATGAGAGGCTGTGTGAGCATTTTCATTAGGCTTAGAGCAGATGACAAATTGCAATGTGGTGACTGCTTAGAATCTTTCCGTGCAGTTATCTGAAACCATCATTACGTGTTTGGGCAAACAATGTAAAAAATTCTTTTATTGAAAGCCTATAGTAGTTCTTTCCAGCCAATGTGATGGCCATGAAAAGAAATAATGGTAAGCATACTTCACATTCATGCTCTGTTTTAATATGTTTTGCATCAAAAGTGTTACGATATACGTGGAAAGTCCCCCCCCCACTTTTGATTTTAAAATATTGAGTTTCACTGTTCTAGGCCATAGTGTTGGTCATTTATCGGGCTAATTTAAGCACTTGTAGCATATAAGGAACTCTTATGTGGTTGCATCTATTCTATTGAAACAATATTTGGTTTCACTTTTGTCGACCTATAAATTAAAGTAGCATTGCCCTTTTTTATAAACTTAGGAGCAAAAGGACTAGAAAGTTTATAGCAACACTGTGTGTCATTAGTATTTTACGTATGTGATATTCTTATGTGAAGTTGCCAAAGCAATTTGAATTCATGAGGAATATTTATACCACAATGTATAGCTTTGTTGGGGGATATTTTTCATATTCAGTACATTTGATGCCATGTACAGGCAGACACATCAGTCGTCTTAAAAAGCTCTCCCTCCTGATATAAGCTGATTTAAGGCTTACTGGTTAGTTGCCATGAAGAAATGTTGAGAGAGATTCGTTTGGGCAGGGTCACCAGCTAATCCACAAGCTGCGGGAGTTTCCCTCAATGCGCATTTGGTAAGGACAGAGTAATAATAAAGCATTTTGCTGTAAATGTGGTTTTCCACAGAATACATCTTCTCATTATGGTATCAATAACCTTTTACTAATATTTTTATATGTCCTGAAAGTTAATATTGCTAATTACTTTTCATTGGGTTATGAAGAGCTGTATCAAACTAAAACAACAAAAATATTTTTTGTATGTGTTTCATGCTGTATTAAAACATGAATGTATGTTTGAGGCATAATGACATATAAAATAATGAGTGCTATGAATGTTGGATTTTATGGATGATTATTTTCGTACTGTTTGCTAAAAAAGGGGTGGGGGGAGAGCAGTCTGTAACACTTCCAGATGTTTTTTTTAAATTCCAGTTGTTTTCATTGTAAATAAGAGCAATAGGTTAATACTTTTGTGCCAATATATGTTTAAATGTATGGGAGTTTTGTTCTGTCTTCAGGATTGAAAGCTGCAATTATTTAAGGTACTTTTGAAGGTTTGTCAGATGTAGAAAACTAGGAGTCTTAAGGTTTTTTTAAATTGCCTTTTTAGTTGTGTGGCTTTTGGGGTGATAGGGGTATAATTGGGGGTAGTTAAATATGAAGTACCCACAGATGATGTCAGTCAGTCTCTGAGAAATATGATTCTAAGCAAGCCAGTTAATCATGCCACTTTAAGTATGCCTTTCTCCTAGAGATGTGAAGGCCCGGAAAAAAACCAGAAAAATTCGGGGGGAAACCCGGGATTTTCTTCCGTTTTTTGCCTGAAGCCTTTTTTGTTTTTTCCCCCAAAATTGGAAAAATTGAAAAAAGAAAAGAAAAAAAAAGAAATTGATTATGGAACATTTTATTTTAACATGATGGATAAAATATTTTAGGACAGGGTGTTCAAATATGCAACCTACCAAATTGATACACTCGCCCAAATTATTAATTTGCAATATAAGTAATTCACGTTACAGCATTGAGAAGTTAGATGTGTTTAATCAGGATTTCACAGATAAGGTCTAGAAGTGCTGCCGTTATCTTACAATGGAAGGACCAAACTGCAAGTGAAGAGAGCTAGGAGAGGTTTGTGACGGAACCCGTATGGCCAGCGCTTTGCTATGAGCAATGTGCAGATTAAAACTGCATCAACAGAAGAAGGCAGAAAAGCAGCAGAAATGCTGCAGTTGCAGCTGTTCAGAGAGGCCAAGAAGCAGAAACGTCATGCATGGAATCTCAGCAGCTTCTGCATCTGGTAGAATGTGGAAGAGTTTTAATTAATGGCATGCAGAAAAGTTGGTACCAGCCCCTGAAAGTGGTGGTGTAGAATATCCTGTGGTCTATTTGCAGCTCCCACACACTTTTATGAAGTACACCTCCTCACTCTTGGAAAGAAGTGGAGGCATCTGGTCCCATGTGCAATATTTTTAATGTTGGATATTGTAACTATAGATCAGTTTGAGTCATAACTTAAATCACTTGGTTCTGCATGCGTTGTGAAGGAAAATTCTGCACATTATGCAAAGTCCCTGTTTTTCTCCCTCTATGTTATTATACAGGCTTAGATCCTAACATCCGTTTCCATGGGTGGAAAGCACCCATGGAAGAAGGTGAATGGGCCAGTTTTTTTCTGTGATCCTCCCCTCCCACAACAGACACACACTGTGCCTCCGACATTGTTCCAGAAGAGGGGGGAAGGTGAC